AGGTTGGGCAACAGCCGCCCAGCCTGACCTGCTGCCCTCCTGCCCCTCAGTCTGTGCTGACAACAACCACGTGCGGACATGGTCTGTGACTCGCTTCCGTGGCATGATTTCCACCCAGCCGGGCTCCACCCCACTTGCTTCCTTCAAGATCCTGGCCCTGGAGTCGGCCGATGGGCATGGCGGCTGCAGTGCTGGCAATGACATTGGTGCTTCCTAGCCCCTGGCCTCCCACCCACAGCCCCCATTGGCCTCCATTGACCCCTTATCTAACCCCCGTTGAGCTCCCTTTACTCCCAGCTCCTCCTGTTTAATTCTGTTGCCCCCACTGATTCCTGCTGACTGCCACCTGACCTGGGATCACCCCCGTCCCTGATGTGCCTCAACCCTGTTGACTGTTGCTGATCCCCAGCCCTCTCTGACCCTACCCAACTTCAGCAATCTAGGGATGGGGATCTAGTCTTGGGCTGGGGCAGAGCCTTGGGGCCTGGAGGTCTCAGGGACCCAGCAAGCCTGATTCTCACCCCTGTCTGGCCCAGGCCCCTACGGTGAGCGGGATGACCAGCAAGTGTTCATTCAGAAGGTGGTGCCAAGCGCCAGCCAGCTTTTCGTGCGTCTTTCATCCACGGGTCAGCGGTGAGGATCATCCGTCAAGTGGACAGGGTGGTTAAAGGAGAAGACAAGAGGCCAGCTGGACTATGGAGGCCAAGAGGATCCCAGCCGAGGGGCCTTTAGGAGCAAGGGCAGGGAGGAGCATGGGCCTGGTCCATGTTTGGGGTCTGGACGTACCGAAGTATCAAAGGTGTGACCCATATGGGTGGGAGTGAAGGTGGAGAAGCTGGTGCCTGTGGTGGCCCTCAGATGGAGACGGCTCAGTGCCGGGGGGGGGGGGGGGGGCAGGGAGCTGTAAAGGAGCTGTTGGCTCCACCCTGGGAAGGAGGCCCTGGGAGGGTTTTCTTGAAGAGGAGACTGAGCAAGGAATGGCTAAGTAGGGTAGCCAGTGAAGTGCCCATGGTCTGGGGGCCAGAACACAGAACTGGAGGTGAGCAGTGGGGCTGCAGAGGGGCAGGGCCTTGTCGACCGCATGGAGGCGCTGAGACTGTCCTGCCTGCATGTGCTGGGAGCCATGGCAGCTGTGACGAGGAGGGACCGGAGTGTGGTAGGAGGCTGAGAGCCCAGAAGGGGGCTGGACAGGTGCCTGGCTGGAGAGGGCAGGGCTTGACCAGGGCAACGCCTCGAGCGGGGAGGAGGGCCATGGGAGAGATGCTGGCAACGCAGAACCGCCATGGCAGCAATAGGTGAGGGAGGCACTTAGGAGGAGACTCTGGCCTTCCCTGAGGTGGGAAGAGGGAGCAGCAGGTTTGAGGCAGAGTCCTGAGGCCCCCTTGGGACACCTGGCGAATGTGCAGGCAGGACCCCAGGGCCAGAACCCAAGAGAGCAGATTGGGGAAGGATGAAGGTGCTTGGGGTGGAGAGACAGGAACGGAAGCCATAACGGGATTGCCCAGGAAGGGCCAGGCCAGTCCCTGGTGCGGCAGGGTGACTCCTCCTCCTTCCCTCTCAGGGTGTGCTCCGTGCGCTCCGTGGATGGCTCGCCCACCACTGCCTTCACGGTGCTCGAGTGTGAGGGATCCCGAAGGCTTGGCTCTCGGCCCCGGCGCTACCTGCTCACTGGCCAGGCCAACGGCAGCCTGGCCATGTGGGACCTGACCACTGCCATGGACGGGCTAGGCCAAGCCCCTGGTACTCCTCACCCCACCTCAGTCCTGTCGCAAGCCACACAAGCTCACCCTGAACGCTTCTCCCCAACTTCCTTCCTCATAATCTCCCTCCCCACACCCTCACCCTCTGGCCCCTTCCTCCCCCCGCCCCCCAACTCCTCCTTGCCCTTGCTTTTCAGTCCCTCTGTTCTGACCCCTGTCCCTTGACCTCTGCATCTTTTCTGCTATCCCAACCTCAATCCTTGCACATGACCTTTGTCCCTTGCCCTGTAATCCTTGTCTTGCCCCCTGACCTCGCTTCTTTGCCCCCCAGCAGGTGGCCTGACAGAGGAAGAGCTCATGGAACAGCTGGAGCAGTGTGACCTGGCCCCACTGGCTTCCTCGCGGGGCTCTCTCCCCAGCCCCTCACCCCGCACTTCTCTCACCAGGTAGGCATGACTCCACTTCCCCTCCTGTGCACTGGGGGAGAGGACGGAATATGGTGGCCTGGGAGGGGGGTTGGCTCAGCTGCCTCACGATGGCCTGCATTGACTCTCAGCACCCCTCAGTCTTTACTCAGCTTCCAGCAACACCTCCCTGTGTGGCCGCCGTGGGAGCCCCAGCCCCCCGCAGGCTGAGGCCCGGCGCCGTGGGGGAGGCAGCTTTGTGGAACGCTGCCAGGAACTGGTGCGCAGTGGGCCAGAGACCCGACGGCCACCAACACCAGCCCCCCGGCCCTCCACGGGTCTTGGGGCTCCCCTTGCACCCCCCAAGATGAAGCTCAATGAAACTTCCTTCTGAACGCAGCTGCCATGGTGCCTTTGAATGCTCAGGTCCTAGAGACTCGGGTACCTGCCCGCTTCCTGTCAGAGCCCTGGGTTCAGGGCCAGGGTCTCCTTGGAATGGTCACTGTTACTAGATCTCCCCTATCTCCCTTTTTTCTGGGGCCAAAGTTACCCTCTCCTAATAAAGTTCTCACTGCCAACACCTTGCTTACATTCTTAGATGATTGGGGACCCCCAGGGAAAGGGTGGGAGAGATATGGGGCCCAACCAGGCTGTAGATTCAGAGACATCTGTCTCTCCTGCTTTAAGCAAAGAAAAGAAATGTATAGGTTTACACATCAGCTTCAGGCATGGCTGGATCCAGGGGTTCTCAGTCAGGTTTTTCCCTCTTGTGCCAAGATAACTTTAGGTAGTTCCTTAGGAACTTTATTTCCTCTCGCAGCCACAAAAATCACAAGCCTGATTCTCATTGGCTTGAGTGGAGTCAGATGCCCACCCCTGAACCAATCACTATGGCCAGTGGATGGAGGTCTTCCCTTGTTCCAGGGGTAATGTGACCTCACTAGCCAAGAGGTGGCTTCAGGCCCATGTTGACAGTAGAAGAGGAGTTTCTGAAAGTTGAATCAGGGTTTTGTTACCACAAGTGGGGATGAATGGCTACAGGTTGGCAGAAACACAGACGTTGCCACATCCTTAACATTTGTACCCAAAATCTCACCACTGCAAACATCTGGCCCACATCCCTGTCTTCCCAGTCTTTCGCCCCTTTTCTGCCCACACCTGAGAGGGTATGTGGGACAGATTCAGCTCAGCCCAGCAGGACAACCTTGGGATTTCTCCCAAATAATGCCTGTTACTATGGCAACTCCTCAGGGAAATCTTCAGCATCTTTTCTTTGGACCAATGAAGAGGAGAGAGAGTGGGCCAGACTAGTAGCAAGCGATTTTAGGATATGCTAATTGTAGAATCCCAGTTTCTGGAATGTCAGGGCTTCTGTAACATGGTGAGAGGGGTCTAGAATGTTAGGGAATCTAGAACACAGGAATATTTTAGAGTTCTAGTGGATGAACAATGTTAGGGTTCTCTCCTGCATTTCAGAAAATCCAGACTGTGAAAGTTTCTTGACAGAAGGACCTGGAAAGTCAATAATTGTAGAATGGGAATGTTCTATAATGCCTATGAATTTATATCAGTAGGAATATTTTTCATGCTGGGGATTAGGAATGCTGAGAACTCTAAAACACAGAAGCCTGGCCAGCATGGCTCAGTGGTTGAGCATCGACCTATGAACTAGGAGATCACGGTTTGATTCCTGGTTAAGTCACATGCCTGGGTTGCAGACTCCACCCCTGGTAGAGGGCATGCAGGAAGTGGCCGAGCAATGACTCTCATCATTGATGGTCATCTTTCCCTCTCCCTTCCTCTCTGAAATAATAATAATAATAATAACAACAACAACAACAGAAAAGATCTGGATTGCTAGGAAATCTAGGGCATAGGGATATTCTGGAATGTCAACCTTTCTAGACCACTAGAGAGTTTGTTTGCATTCCAAGCAATCCATAATGGCGGGGGTTCTAGATTGTCAAAGAATCTAGAACACAAACGGTAGGTCTAAAAGGTGAGTGATTCTGAAAGTGTTCTGGAATGCCTATGATACTTGAACTCTGGGCATGTTTTTATAAGCCAGGGCATTCAGAACACGGGGATGTTTGAATGTTAGGAAGTCAAAATATAGGAGGTGGGTTGGGATGTTAGGGGACCAGGGGATCTAGAATATGAAGGCATTTTGTAATGCTTGTAGATCTGGAATATTGACATAGCTTTTTCCATGCCAGGGAATCCAGAACACATGTGTGTGGAATGCTGATGATTCTAGAACTGAGAGAAATTGTCAGAAAATCTAGAACACTATGGAGATTTTTTTAAAAAATATTTTTATTGATTTCACAAAGGAAAGGAGAGGAAGAGAGAGATAGAAACATCAATGATGAGAGAGAATCATCAATCAGCTGCCTCCTGCAAGCCCGAAACCCAGGCATGTGCCCTTGACTGGAATCAAACCCAGGACCCTTTAGTCCACAGGCCAACGCCCTATCCCAAACCAGCCAGGGCCACTATGGAGATTTTTGTTTATTAATGCAAGGGATAAAACTGTGTGAGCCCATCCAATGCCCTATCCACTGAGCCAAACCAGCCAGGGCCACTATGGAGATTTTTGTTCATTAATGCAAGGGATAAAACTGTGTGAGCCCACACTGGGAGGAAGCTTCTGGAATGCCATGACTTTAGAACTCTGGGGGTTCTGAAGGGTTGAGAACAGATAAGGATCCAAGGGGTGATTGGCTGTTACTAGGTGAGGAGCATTTGAGAATTTGCTTCCCAGTATATGTTGTCAGTTTATCGCAAATAAATTCACGAAAGTTCAAAAAGAAAGAAAGAAACAAAAAATCCTGGGAGATAGTGGCACTGATAGGGATTGAAATTGGGGATTCCAAATGCCGGGGGTGAGGGGGGAATGGGTGAGGGGAAGCCACAGCCATCCCCGGAAGTTACAGTGGTGAGCCAGTGACTGTTGCCTAGCAACAAGCATTGAAGATGTCCTGGATCCCAGGCAGAAGGGAGAAATTTCGGCAGCGCCCCCAGCAAATGCTCCAGCCACAGGGTAGGAGGAAGGGAGAGGGCAGGGACACACTGTCCTGCATGGCTATGTTCTCAGGGATCGAGGGGGATTTACAAAGGGGCATGGAGCACATTCAGAGAGCAGAACCAGGCACTCCACCATCACGCTGAGACAGCCCACGAATGCCCGTGAGTGGGGCCCGAGTGCCGTTGTTGCTGCTTTAAGAGGCTGTGTCCCAGGACGGTGGGTGGACCCAGAGTTCTAGGTGTCAGAGTGGGATGGAGGTGTGGATTGCTGTAGGTAGCAGTAATGGTGTGAGTGTGCTGAGTCAGTCCAGGTGCCTCACTGTAACCAGGGAGGGTGAAGGGGTCCCCTGTACCCCCTGTACACCTTCCATTGGAAGAAGAAGGAGGAATGGGGAATGAAGATAAAGCTGGATCTGTTGCTTTGTTAGTGTGGAGTCAGGTCAAGGTGGGAGGCTAAGTTCTCTGTGTGGGCCTAGCCTCCGCCGGGCTAACGCTACAGAAAGGGAAACCATAGAATTAAACTGCTGTGAGATGGACTGGGAAACCCTGGAGGTGGGGCAAATGTGAAGGGGTGGGGCTTGGGATCCTAAGTGTGGGGCCACTCCCCAATTCTCTGTGGGAAGGAGTGTGGCCTGAAGCTTAGAGAAAGGGCTTGTAATTCCAAGGAAAGAAGGTGGGGCCTTGAATTTTTAATGAAGGGAAGGGGCTGGCCTTGATACCCTCTGAGGGCCAGAGCTGGGCTTAGAATCTGGAACCCTTTAAAAGGGGGTGCACCTGGCCTGTGTGGCTCAGTGGTTGGGCGTCGACCTATGAACCAGGAGGTCACGGTTCGATTCCCGGGGCACATGCCCAGTAGGGACGTGCAGGAAGCAGCCAATCAATACTGGTATTTCTCATCATTATGTTTCTATCCCTCTCTCCCTCTCCCTTCCTCTCTGAAATCAGTAAAGATGTATTTTAAAAAAATAGATAAAAGGGGGTGCAAGTGGGGCCGAAGGTTCTCTGTGGCTTGGGGCTCCTAAAGGTAAAGGTCCCTGGGAAGGTAGGGGACTGGAATTCTCTAGGGAGAGTCTGCAATCCTGGAAGTGGGAGCGGTGCTCTTGGAAGTCTTTAAAGATTCAGGCAGGGAAAGGGGCCTGGTAACCAGTGCGGGGAGGAGGGAAGAGGGTTGTGTCAAGGAGGAGAGCAGAGCCAGCAGCGTTGGGCGTGGAGTCTGTGGGTCAGGAGTGGAGCTGGGTCCTCTGTGGGGCGGAGACTACAGCCTTCAGAAGAAGCAGGCTACTGCTGGTTGGGTCCGGAACTCCTGAGCACAGGGCCTGTAGAAAAGGTGATCCTTTGGGAAGGTCCGGAATGGGCCTGGAACCTCAGAGGGGCCGGGCCTCCTGGGCAGGATGCTCCGTCCTCAGAATCTTGAGTATCTCGCGTGAGAAGTGGAGACCTGTGGGAGCTTCCAGCATCTACACGAGTCAGGGAGCACATTCTGATCGCACGCCCCGACAACTAGGAGTTGAGGGATGAGGCCTGCAAGTGGGAGTCTGGTTTAGGAGACCCTGCCCACGGCCTCCACCTCGCTCCCAGTCATGGGAGGGGTCGCAGCACCTCCACACTAGGGGCTCTCCTTCACCGGAGGGTTCAACCGACTCCCGCCCCCCCCCCCCAACACACACACACACACACACACACCACGG